CCTCCTCCTCCTCCTCCTCCTCCTCCTCGTCGCCCTCCTCCTCCTCCTCCTCTCCTTCCCCCCCTGCCCCCCCCCCCGCCCTGCCCCTGCCCCTGCCCCTGCCCCTGCCCCTGCCCCTGCCCCTGCCCCTCCTCCTCCTCCTCCTCCTCCTCCTCCTTCTCCTCCTCCTTCTCCTCCTCCCCGTAGCCATTTTAGGCTCAAGCCACGTCGGCTCGAGTTGGCCCCCGCAACGCCGCTTGGCCATCGTCCCGGGGCTTTATGGTGGTGCGCCGCTCCCTGCCGCTTGAGGTCCAAGTGCTCCTGGCAACGCCGGGTTGAATTCGTTCGCCTCCACCTTCGAGTGCATGCTGCTGCTTCTCGCTTTCTTGGTGGTTTTCCTCATGTTCATGGGTCTGGCTTCTTGGTGAGCGGGCTGCTGGGCGTGCAGTTGCTCGGTGTGATCATCGTGATCTACTTGTTCGAGGCTCTTTTTGTTCTTGCAATGCGGGCCTGGGCTTATCTCTACTGGTTTGGTCTTTGTTGAATTGATTTTCTGATGGGAGTTGGCTCAGTGTTTTCATGTAGGGCTCGAGAGATGAGCCGTGGTGGCTAGCATTCTCCTCGCCCAGGGCCTGGTGTGCCCGTGTGCCTTATCGGCGACTGGTGAAGTCAAGTGTGTTTGTCGCGATGTGGATGTGGCCTTCGGCCTAGGCTTTCTGCGCGTCATTCGCACCCTGGCTCTTCTTCGTTGTCGTGCTGGTGCAGGCGGTGTTCTTCATCACGTACGCTCAGGACTTCTCGGTGGACGGGCTGCTGGGCGTGCTGATGATCGTTGTGGGAATGGGGTCCGCTAAGGTGTTGAGGCAGCTCGTACTTGTATTGCGGGCCCTGGCGCTTTCCACTGGTTGTCATTGTGAAGTCGATGTCTAGCGGGATGGGGCTCAGGTATTTTGATTTAGGGCTAGAGGAATGAGCCGTTTGGCTAGCATATTATCCTCGCCCTTGGGCCTGGTGTGCCCTCAGGACGTTTTGATGCAGTGTTCGGCAGTGTATTTCACGTGGTGGGTTTTATATTGTTCTTCTCTGGCTGGTGGTTGAAAGTAGCGTGCAGCTCGCCACATACTTTGTGAGAATTGCTAAAGGTCGCTTAGTTTATTACTTCACTGCGCGTCACTACTATTGCCGGGCGTCTTCATCATTGTCTTCTTTTGTATCGTGAGTGTTTCCACACCTGAGATCGTGCCCCGCCTTGCAGCAGGTCACCACGAACAGCTGGCAAAGGTAAAGGTCCTCCTCCTCCTCCTTCTCCACGCGCCAATGTCGATGAAAGCGACCCTGTTTTTCTGTGTCGCTCACGTGGTCCCTGGAAGTCCCACCCTTTCCGCAGGGCTGGTTTTGCGCCCGGGATCATTCTTTGACGGCCCCCGGGGCCTGGCGAGGGTGCCGAAAACAGCGAAAAGCTGCGGTCGTCGTGCTGCCACAGGGAACGCTGACCAGAAGGAACGAACGGGGCTGACCTAGCCACGGCGAGCATCGGCCACGAGCAGGTTCCAGGACGCAGATGTAAGGAGCGGCCCGAAACCCGGAGCCACTCCTCAACCCGACGTGGTCCTTACAGCCGACGATATGCTCAAGAAAATCAGCACTCAAGAAGCCTGGGACAGCTTTCCGAAGTTTCGTACAACAGGCCTGGGCCACCTGTCTTTGTCTTCGCTGGAGGGACGAACGTGCTGAAGAAACGGGGCCATCCTTTCGGCAAGTTGGATAAGACACGTTATCCAGACGCTCGACCGTATTTCAGCGTCTTGGCTGTACGCCTTGCTTTTTATCAAGACGGTGGATGTCTGCCCCCCCCCCCCTCCCCCCCTCCCGGCGGCGGCTCTGGGAGCGGCGCCCGCTCGGACCTCCGACAATCTATGCTCATGCTGCTTGTCTTTTCGGCTCTTGTTTTTTGTTTCTGCTCTTCGGAGAGGACGAGGGGGAACCATAGTCGGCGGCGCGCCTGGGGGAAAGTGAGAGGGGACAGGCCTTCTCAGAAGGCGGCGGGGCTTCTCACAAGCCCTCGGGCCTTCCGAGAAGCCGCCTCTGTCTTCGGAGAGGGCTCAGAGCACTTCTCGGAAGGCCCGAGGCCTTCAGAGCCTTCTTAGAAGACCCGCCCCCTCTCTCGCTTGCCCCCCCCGTGCTCGCCGCTGATATAGCGGGGGAGAACTGGCTCAGGGGAGAAGCATTGACTTGGAATCGGCGATGCATCGCCGATAGATCAGCGACAGGCCCCCGACAGCGAAATCCGGGCGGGGTGGGGTTCGATGCTCCCCCCTCTGGCCAATCACCCCCATGCTCGCCATCGCTCGGACGTCCATTCCCGGTGCATGTTTCGGTTTCGTGCGTTTCTGTTTGTTTTTTTTGGTTGCGTTTTTTGTTCGATGATCCAAGATGATCCTCGATGGTCCTCGCCGAGAAAAACTGCACACATCCAAGCGGTGCCAAGCCTGACGTGGCCCCTGAAATGAGGGGGGAGCCACCCTGCTACTCCTCGGGTGGATGACTGGCTGGCCCACTGGGCCCCTCCCACACTGCGGCGCGGGCGCCCCCGGCTGGGCGAGGCCGTACACGACTGGACAAGCGCGTTCCACTACTCGCAGAATAACTACTCGCAAATGGTCTGGAGCCGCCACGGGGGAGAGAATGCTACGCATCGAACGAAGTTAATGATAAGATGAAGGATGAAGCTATGATGCCTCTTTTGTTTTTAAGCAGGCTATGATGCCCACTCGTGCGCACCCCGTCCCGTCTTCATGGACTTCGCATCCCCCCTATGATTGTGTGATGGGAAGGCGGGCCGCCAACACCTGCACTGCACGTGCGATGCCAGGTTCGTGGGGATTTGCCCCCCGCGGCCCCTCTACAGACATGTGACATTTGTTTTTTCGGACGGCTAAACACTTTGCGAGTAGTGGAACGCGCTCGGTGAACGACGCGGCCGTCGCCGTGATCGTCGCGGTTGAGGGTGCCGGCGACGCTGAAGGAGGATACGAATTGGTAGTGCGCACAAGAGGATGGCGCGGGTGGGGTGGCCTTCTAAGAAGGCAGGGGGCTTCTCGGAAGGCGGGAGGCTGCTTAGAAGGCGGGGGGCTTCTTAGAAGCCGTCCCCGTTTCTAAGAAGCCTGCTTAGAGACCTCCAGGCCCTTTTAAGAAGGCTCCCGCCTTCTGAGAAGCACAACGCCCTCTTAGACAGTTTCCCCTCGCGCCACCCCGCCTTGCGCGTCGCCAGACCATGCAACCCAGACGTCCACAGTATTCAAACTTGGAGACATTCTTGTAGTTTTCGGCATCTAGGGGCTGGTTTCGGGCCCTGGGGGCCATCAAACAACTGCTCAGGACCGGCCCTGGGGAAATGGTGGAGACTTGTTTGGTGGGGTCCCGTGTTGAACAAACCAAGACGTCGCATGAACCGCTGCTTGGCGCCCATCGTCTCGTGACAGGTCGCGAGGTATGGGCGTGCTTTTGTCCCGCCTCGCCTGCTGGACGCCGTTGCCGTCGTGGTCCGCATCCTCATGCGGCTTGAGCGTCGGCTCTTATAGAAGATACGTGCGGTAAGAGATCTGAGGGCACGTTTTTCGTCGATCTTTGAAGGCCCCAGGGTGCCCCAGAGTTTCCGTGGGTCCCTGGGGCCACCGAGGGGCAAGAGACTCCCGTCGGACACCTGCTGGCAGGCCGGCTCGTTTGACGTGACTACTGCAAGTGGGCGAACGCTCAACCGTCAGTTCGGGGTTGATCGCTACGCGGTGCCACAGGGCGGTGACAATGACGGCGCTCCTTGAGCATGGGCGGGTACGCGAAGCCCTCGTCGCAGCGGTGCACGCTGACGGCGTCTGCCGTGCTGCGTGAAGTGCCCTACCTTAGCGAGGACTGGATGCACCTCTTCAAGGAACTAGCGGTGTAGGGGGGTTCTCGGCGGGGTTTCGTCGGGGGATGCGGAGGACTCTCTAGGGTGGATGCACCGAGTTTTCATCAACTTAATATGATCGATTCATCTCGAACGCCTCTCAACTTGGCATCGCTCGGACGTCCATTGCCTGTGCATTTTTCGATTTCGTGCGTTTTTTTCCTCACGATGATCCTAGATGCTCCTCGATGGTCCTCGTCGGGAATTAAGAAGCACCGGCGATCTCTGGGGGGGGTGGGTCGGTAGGGGCATGGGGCCCGTCCCCTCTCTTCTCCTCCCCTCCTGCCCCTCCCTGGGTCCTCGTCCCGGGGCCGCGCACCCGGGTCGCGCCCCCAGGCCGCGCGCAGCCAGAGTTGCCATCGCTCGAACGTCCCTTCCCCGTGCCTTTTTCGGCTTCGCGCGTTTCTCTTCTCGCAAGATGACCCGAGGTGCTCCTCGAGGGTCCTCGCCGAGAACAAGTGCACACGTCCTAGCGATGCCAGGCAGAGTTTCGCTGCCCGGGCCGTGCACGACCACGCGCGCCCAGGGTCCCGCCCCATAGGGCCGCGCGAGACCCGGGGAGGGACGTGGCGCCCGCTGTCCCTTTTGCGCGGGCGGGCGTCGGCGGTCCGAGCCTCTCCCCCAGAGGAGGGGGCGCCGCTGCGCTCCGGCCCGGGCCACGACGAAGGCCTCCGCCTTCGCGCGCCCTCGTCGCTCCACGGCGGCGGGGCCGCGGTCTGCGCCGCGAGCGCCTCGCCCGTGCGCTCGCGCGCGAAAGTGGTGTCGTCATCACCCCCCGCCGACCAGCCGCAACCGAGGGGCCCGTGATCCTTGCCCACCCCCCCCCCCCCTGGGGGGCCCCTCTGTAAATCGAAGCTCTCTCGAGGGGGACGTCGAGCGAGAGGAGCCCTCCAGGTGTCTCAGGACCACGGCTCCCCCAGTCGTGGCTGGTCCGCCGCGTCGGACTGAGAGTATCTGGGGCAACAGTGACGAGGCTTGCGCGCGGCGCGAGGATCTGGTCAGACCGTCGTGCGTAGGCGCGGAGGTGCAGCGCGACTCTCAGCGCAATCCCTTGCTCGAACGCAGGCCCAAGGCTCTGGTGACCGGTCGGGCACCTGGCGAACAAAAAGACGCAGGCAGCGCGCATGCAGCCACATTCGGGCCCCTTTCGGGCGCCGCTGGCAGGATCTCTCACTCCTGGATGCCCGCCAGCCTTTTGGCGAGGCCTTTCTTGCTCTCCAGGTCCATGTAGCGCTGGATGAGCACGCGCTGTGCCTGAGGAGAGCCGGCGCCGTGCATGCTCTCGCTAAGGTAGCCTACGGCATTCCTGCCCATCGTCATGCACTCGATCAGCCTCAAGATGCGTCTGCGGTTCTCCACTGTAACGCCGCGCTTGCCCATGAGGTACTTCTCGAGGAGCGGGCCAGCCACCTCGTGCTTGAAATCCTTGTCCCCCGGCAGCGTCACCAACAGACCGCCGGCGATGTCCTGCACGTTTCGCGCGATCTCGTAAGGGTACCGGGTGACGTTGTGTTTGCATATGTTCGCCATCAAGACGTCGGGCAAGAAATTCCCGGCGGGCATCGCCTTGCCCCCGTACGACGCGGCCAGGGCAGTGCCGGCGATGTTCTCGTTGAGGTACGCGATCTCGACGAACTTATCTCTGACGTGGGACACCCTGGACACGCCGTTGTACTCGGCGACCGTGGCCGCGGAGCCCAGCATGACGTCCCCCAGTCCAGCCTTGCAAATGTACGACCTCCTGTGGTACGCAGTGAAGCGCTCCACCAGAGTCTGGGTGAACTCGACCTCCCCGTCCATAAACACGAGCTCGGCAGGCACCACGACGTCTTCAAAACACACGACCGTCTCCTGCCCACCGTAGTTGGCGTTGCCCTGGTCGATCTCGCTCCCCTCCATCGCGCGCAGGTCGCAGCTCTGGCGGCCGTAGATGTACGTCAGCCCAGGGGCGTCCACTGGGACGGCGCAAGCGATGGCGTAGTCCTTCTCCGCAACCTCCATCTTTCCACCCGGCATCACTATCATGTAGTGGGAGTTCAGAGTCCCTGTCTGATGCACCTTCGAGCCCCGCAACACGATCGACCCGTCCTGCCTCCGTCCAGCCACGCGCACGAAGAGGTCCGGATCGTCCTGTTGCGACGGGCTCTTCATGCGGTCGCCCTTGGGGTCGGTCATTGCGCCGCCCAGCACGATGTTGCGTGCCTGCGCCATCCGCATGAAGTTCTGAAAGCGGAGATGGTACTCCGTGCCGTACTTCTTGTCGATGTCGAAAGTGGTGGCCCATGTGGCATTGAGAGCGTCCATACCGACACAGCGCTGGAAACAGCAGCCTGTGCGCCTGCCCAACTCCCTCTGCATGTGCGACTGCCTCACGAGGTCGTGGGAGGATTCGCACACATGGAGGAAGCGGCTCATGCGGTAGCCGCTGAAGCCCAGCGCAGTGCCCAGCTCGGGGTCGTCGTGCGCCAGCCGATAGGTCTCGGCCAGCGAGTTGACGGAGGGCCACACGATCGGATGGTCCACAAAGTTGTCTACGAGCTCGCCCTGGATGTAGACCTTGAGGTTCCTTCCCCGCAGGGACGCTATGTAGCCCTCCGCGGTGGTGATCTCGGGCGTCCGCGGCTCCCACGCCCCGCCTCGTGGGCGAAAAGCATGTCCATACCCACGGCCTCGCGGATCTGGAGCCTGGGCCGCGACCCCGTAACCGTGGGGGCGCTTTTCCGCGCATGCCTCGTGCGGGGGACGTACCGTAGAAACATGCGATAAGGACTCTTGCTATAAGAAATCCATGGACACGTTTGTCGTCGAGTTATGAATCCCCTGAAGTACCCCGAGGCTTCGGGGCAAGCGGGGAATCAGAAAACTCGGTGGGGTACCTGCTGGCAGGCCGCTTTCTTATATTTTGCGTGCCTGTGGTGCCCGTGCGACCGCACACCCACGGGATCGCACCCTGGAATCCAGACCGCGAGGGCGTGGTCAGGCACACGTTCGCCGCTCGCGGCGGCCTCCGGCCGGCCGAGCGCCTGCGGCAGCGGCGGCGTCCAGCAACGCCTCTAGCGGTGTCCGCGGGCTGGCCGCCGCCTCCGTGTACGCCGCGGCGGGCACCGGTCGGAGCCCGCCCGCGGCGGGCCCGCAGCTCGAGCACCCGCTGCCGCATGAGGGCGCCGAGGGCGGCCGCGGCGGCGGCGCGTCCGGCCACGCCCTCCGTGCGAGGTCCTCGATGTCCACCTCCGGCGGCTCGGCGCGCACCTAGGACGAGAATGATGTCATGATGGAATTGGCTCAGGATGCGTTCCAAGATTTCCAGAGTGTCTAGCGGCCTTCTGCAGCCCATGTGGATCAGTAGGAAATCTGAGAAGTCCTAAAGTTTGTGTAAATCTGAGAACGTATCATTATCATGACCTCTTGCTCCTCTGAGCACCTGCCTGGACAGCGCCGCGATACGCGCGGTGGGCTTGTCCGCCATCGGCGGGGCCCCGCCGAGGCCGCCGCGGCGGTCGGGGAAAATGGGGGCGCTAAAAGTGTGCGGGCGGTCGCGGGCGCCGCTGGATTCGCTTGAGCCGAGCTGGCCACAGAGAGGGGGGGGATGATGATGATGCTGATGATGATGATGCCGATGATGATGCTGAAGATGAAGATGAAGATGAAGATGAAGATGATGATGATGATGATGATGATGATGATGATGATGATGATGATGATGATGATGATGATGATGCTGCTGCTGCTGATGATGATGATGATGAGGATGACGAGTATGATTCTGATGATAACAATGATGATGCTGATACTGATTATGATGATGATGATGATGGTGGTGATGAGGTTTTGGTATCTTGATGGTATGATGCAGATTATGTTGATGATGTTGTTGATGGTGATGATCAAAATGATGATGATGATGATGATGATGATGATGATGATGATGATGATGATGATGATGATGATGATGATGATGATGATGATGATGATGATGATGATGATGATGATGATGCGAGATATGAGGAGGACTCGGAGGAGGAGGGCGAGGAGGAGGAGGAGGAGGACAAGGACGAGGACGAGGACGAGGACGAGAAGGAGGAGAAGAGGAGGAGCAGGAGGAAGCGGAACATGATTACGAGGACGGGAAGGATCCCCCATATGTTCGTGTAGCCATCTAAGACCTCCTAAGTATTCCCCTCCCCTCCCCTGCTCCCTCACGCTCCTACGCCTCCCTCTGACCTCCCCTCATTTTACTCCTCTTCTTCCTTCCGACGGGAGGAACAGAAAATGATAACCTCGTGCCGGGAATAGCGCGCTCGCTGCTCTGGGAAGCAGTGCGAAATTAGCGAGAAAGAGCACAACGAGTGGTAAATGCGAGGATGCGACTTGTCGCGCTTGTACCGTCATTGTCATCCCCCCCATGCTCCTCCCCAGCGAGGAAGATGGGGGAGGAGTTTGCAGGAGGACGGCGATTGAGGGGTTCAGGATATAGCGCAGGGGGGAGGAGCAAGATGATGAGTTGTTTGTTTTAGGGGTGGGGGTGGGCGGGGGGGTGTTGTAGATATCTGGCGGTTCTCTCTGAGGGTCTCAGGATCTTCCAACCTCGGCCTCCAGAGCGCCGCTCACGACTCGCCATCGCTCGGACGTCCATTCCCCGTGCTGCATTGTTCGATCTTGTTTTTGGTTGTTTGTTTTTTTGCTCGATGACCCAAACTGCTCCTCGATTGTCGCCGCCGAGAAAAAATCACACGTCCAAGCGATGCTAAGACTATGGCCGGAGGGCCCCAAGGGTCCCAAGAAGGAGCGGAGAGCTGGGGGGCACCTCCGGCAAAGCCCTGTGCTCGTTCCTCCCACCTCTCCCTCACGCCTGCCTCAGGAGGGCTCGGCAAATGTGGCCGAGCGGCGCCGCGGCCGCCTCTTTCTGGACGCGCGGAGAATCCTCAACGTTGCACCGTGCTCGCATCTGCGAGCGGCGTCAGTCTTACATCAACGCGAGCACGGGGCGGGGCATCCTGGCCACACCGTGCGACTTCGATGGCGGGCACTGGGCATTCCCGAGCTCTCCCCCCCCCCGTCTGGCCCCGACCCGCTCTCCCCGCACTCCCTGTCTGGCGGCGCCCCTGGGCGCCGCCTCGCGCTGAGGGAGGCGTGCGGGGGGAGCGGGTCCAGCGCCGACCCAAGAAATCCGCATCGACCTCCGACAACTTCTGCTTGTCCAGTGAATGCCATCCACACCTTGTCTGCAAGGGTTCTATGTAATCCTTCTGACGCCCAGTGAGAGATGCCAGGCCCCCGAAATTGGTGGCCCATCGTGTCCTCGCATCGTAGCCCCCATTGTGAACTATGCACAATTTGTGGACCTGTTTAGACTCTTCCGTCGCAAGGGTGTCAGGTCGGATGCTGTTTTGGGGGGCAGGAAAAGCGTCTCTGGCCTAGGCTTGAAGCGTGAGGCGTACCTGTCCCCGCATGCGATCAGGGCCCTCTGGCCCTGGTAAGGAGTGCTCTGGGGCCGCCTCGTAGCCTCTCCGCAGATCTGGGGGGCACCTTGGGCCAGGGACACCCCCTGGCAGCACCCGAGCCCCTGGCCGGGTGCTGGCAGCAGTGGCCCTGGCCCGAGGTGCCCCCAGCTGTTTGTGCCCCATGTTGCAGCCCCCCGGGGAGGCCTCTCTGGGGATCCTGCGAACACTTCGGGCCAGGGACACGTCTGGCAGCACCCGCACCTCTGGCAACATCCGACGCCCCCCAGAGAATAGTCGACGTTTCCGGCCCGTGGCCGTGGAGCGTGAAGCGTGGCCGTCCCACGGCCACGCGCAAGAGCGACCTGGGCTCAGAATGGCCTTTCCCTGCGATCCTGGCGTTCCAACTTTGTCGAGCCGGGTCTTTTCGGCCAGATTCGGGGCCTGGGGGCTCGAAAAATGGTGCAGAAAAATAACGTCTAGATCTCCAGTCGTGATTTTTCACGATGTTTCAACTTTTTCGAAACATCGGATCTCAGGGTCGGTGCGCAGCTTCAAGAGGCCGCATGTGGGGGCGGGGAGGGGGGGGGGGCAAATTCAGGCGTTCAAGCCGCTTCCGAGGGAGAGACCCGTGAGGGCCCCGCACCCGAAAAACCTGTTTGGTTGAGTGACCCTAGGGGGGGCATGAGTTCGATCCGTTGGTGCACCGAACTGCCGCAAACAGATGCCCCCCGCATGCCCCACCTGTCGGCAACAATCGGGAGCTGCCCACGGCTGGGGGGCATCTGTTTTGGGCGTTTCGGTGCAAGAATTGATCGAACCCCGCCCCCGCCCCTGGCACCCCCCTTTTGCGGGATCCCGAATTTATCGCCTCTCCACTGAGCCCCCCCCCCGCGTTTCTATGCTTATGCCACTGTTTGCTTCCCTGCTCCAGCGACGCCGCGCGGTGTGGCGCGGCGAGCGCCCTCGGACGCAGCCGCGCGGCGCGGTCGCGATCGCGCGGGCAGGCCGGCCCCTCGCCCGGTCCGGCGCCTCGGAGGATCGCCTCGGAGATGCTCCGTGGCGGTGGCGTGGGCCCAGCGGCAGACACTGGAGGAGGAGGAGGAGGAGGAGGAGGAGGAGGAGGAGGAGGAGAAACTGAGGGAAATGAAGAGGCGGGAGGAGGAGGCGGAGGCGGCGGCGGAGGAGGAGGGGGAGGAGGAGGAAGAGGAGGAGAAAGGAACCTGATGATGATGAGGATGAGGACGAGGACGAGGACGAGGAGGAGGATGCGGATCGCACGCCACTGAGGGGAAAGGGGGGGGAAAGGAAGTCCAACGGTCCCCCAAAAAACGCCCAGGGGGGGCCATCAAAGTGGACCTTTTTGTCACCCTGGCAGGAAGGCCGAAGACCTGCCAGGGGCCAGCGACAGGGCCCCCCCTGGGTATTAGACCGCTTCAGTCTTCGTTATCCAGATCACTGTCTGGGGTTCTCTCGTGCAGCTTAGGCCCAAGTGCGGCCGCTTCGGACTCATTTAATCCAAACGCCTGCAGGACATCTGCAAAGCACAAACTTGCATCGCGGCCCTGGTCGGGCCTGAAAAACATGTTGCTTCCCTGCTGGGCCATCTTGGGTTCCGAAGTGCTCCCGCACCCACGCCCTAGGAGTTCTTCAAGGGCCCAGCAAGAGAGGTCTATTGGGGTGCTTCTCTTTAAAGACGGCCCTAGAGTTCTTCTTGCCAGGGTCGACCAAGGCATGCTGTGAGCCCTCGCACTCTTTGCGCAGGCCCCGAGATCCCGCAGACACCGTCGCGTAGGCCCCGCGCGTGGAACAAAAAAGAATTGGTGGCTGGCCCTCTGTGGCCACCTCAAACTCCAGGAGGGCATGCCCCCCCCCCCCTCCCCAGAAAGAAAGCGTTTGCTGTCCATCCAGCGCGCGTGCCAGCAATTCAGGACCCAAGGCCTCGGGAGGAGGACGCTCGGGCGGGGACAGGGTGCAGGAGGGGGGGGCAGGAGCAACAGCAGCCCCTCCCTCCTCGTCCCATGTCCTCGCCGCCTCAAGCGCCTCCTCATAATCCGATGCCCGTTCCAGGGGAATCATCGTGAGCCCTTGGGCTCCAACATTGTCCTACCGGCACTCGCTTGCATAGTGGGTCTCAGCTCTGCTAATATACTGGAGCAATCAACGCGCCATGTGAAGCATGCCCTTGGCCATCAACACTACATTCTCGGGCATCTACACACCTTTGCACCAGCTTTGGCCAGTCTGTCTGCTTGATCATGGCCCTCCCTCTCAAAGTGGCTCACGCGTCCTTCGCGCGCATCCACCATGGGGGTATGGGCCGCTAATCTGCGAAAGCTGTCCTGCTCTGGCTTTCCCTCTCTGAAGGCCTCCTTCGAAGGGTGCGCTCTGATGTTGCCGGGCCGCTGGGCATGGCGCTCGTTCAAACAGCATTTGACTGTACATTTACAATCGGAATATATCGTGTACTTGCCAACTAAATGCTTCAGGGCCATGAGGATCGCATAGTCCTCTCCGCCCCGAGCCACCTGGCCGGGGCCGGCCGACAGGGGGGCCGCGCCAAACCACCCCGCCAGCGGGCGGCGCTCGTGATCGTAGACCGCCACCTCCCATCCAGCGACTCGAAACGACTGAAAAAGCCCATCAAACCCGCAGCCGTCGCAAAAAACGTGGCCACCATCTAAGGCGAGAGGCGGCGCCTGCCTTTCAACCTTGAATTTCCACTCTGGGTTCTACTTAGGACGGGCAAAGACCTGTCACGGATCTGGCAACATTCCTCTAGCAAATCGCTCTTGCAAATGGGCAGGAGCAGCGCGAAACCGCCTCGCCGCCGACCCAAGGTCTGGGGGAAGGAAATCCCGTATCCAGCCTTGACGGGCTGGGCACTGGAAATGGCGATGAAACAGACTCCCCTGGGCCTCGCCGCAAATGGACCAGTGCCCTGGCAACTGGGGGTCATGCTTGCGCAGCCTGGCTTGACACCAGTGCGATCCAATGACCAGGCCTCGGAGCACTCGCTGCTCCCGAA